GTCCAGAGACAATATAATTTAAGTACGGTATATATGTGAGAAAAAAAGAGGATGTATGTACATTAAAATAGACAAGCTTTTTGCCCATCAAACTTTATGGATGGGTGAACATAGTCAGCTGAAGAAAACTATAATTACAAACTACATTTCACTTATGCCGGGATTCAGTTTCGCTTTCCAGGATTGTTTATTCTTACTGTGACATCTGATCCTGTCCAAAATCATTGGGTTTATCCAAAATCATTTTGCTGATGGTTATTAAATGTGATTGAAAACAACCAAAGCTGATCTAACAAAATGTGGATAAATTTATGTTTTGTCTTTACATCCTATAACTAAATGTTTACGTAGGCTTGATGATTTTCAGTCAATTTAGTAGTGATTACAATATTTGAGCTTTAGAATAGAAATGTTTACCATGTGGAGAGTATAAACTAAGATTAAGGGATTGAAAGCCCTTTTCAGTGTGAGTTCATTGAATTGAGGAAATAAATAGATATGTTGAAAACCAAGTAATTCATTAGGGAGATCTTTAAGTTGAACAACTCTGGGAGGATCAAGAGAATCAATTTAGCTGAATTTGATGTTGCATTATAGCAAACCATCTTACTGAGCAAGAACTGTCATATTAGCTTTTTAGAAATTATTTTTTAATATTACTCGGCCATTAGTTCAATTATTGGGGTTAGAGATTATGGGTAAAAAGATTGCAACAAATTTTATAATGTAGTTTACCCAAAAGATCAAAGTACGAACTATCATATTTATTATTAATAAAAACATAGGAAGTAGAATCTCTGACTACCTTGCCTCGTCTGATTGGAAATACCTGATGTTCATCAAACTGTCAATTAGTAATTTCAATTATATCCAATACAAGCTCAGTTATTAAAACTTCAGTTGTTGATGACATTTATGAGTATGGAAAAAAAACTTTTAACAGTATGTACTGTATACTTCACAAAATTATCACAATTGTCTAGGTTGTAGTTTTAAGATGTATATAGTGTTGAGTTAATGAGGAATTTTTAATTTTTGTCAAAACAATCTTTGCTACGGACAATAATCAACAAATAATTTAGGTATCACCTACATTGTTCAAATGATAGGTGCCAATATTCTGATTTTCTTCTAATTAAGCCTCATCCTGGATGACGGGAAGCGGAACGAGTGCTGTCCTATTCTTTGCCGTGGGGGTCATATACTGTCAAAACCGTCAGGTAGGCCTGAGTGCCGTTTGACTCCCCAGAGCGTAATTGATTTCAGAGGAGGAGTATTAGTGGATTCGCGGCACCCATTAAGTCATAGTAATTACGTTATCATGTGCAAAGATTGTTTTCTTCAGGGCTTGTTTGGAGTTACCCTATTTTTGTAAATTTTGGCTATAGAGTTAGTTTATGTTTGATTTATGTTACTAAATGTTGTTTTTGTTATTTAAACCATATTGGTTCCCAGGGTTGATTTTTATTTTCAATTTCCGTAGGTATAGTTAATTGCTTTAAGTGGTTTTGTGCCTTAGTTATAATCTAACTGTATATATTTTCTTGCTACTCCATTTTGCAGATTTTGCTTAAATGTGTATCTGAAATTGTACTTTTGTGAGCAAACCATATGAATTTTTTTCCCATTTATAAAAATTTGTATTATAGGTAGGAACATGTAAATGACATGACAGAGAAAGTTGCTATTGTTAATCTATCCTTTAACTGATGGTTGTATTTGTATTTGAGAGAAAACCGGTTATATATACAAACAAGTAGAAAGTCAATTATTTAATAAGACCAAGGGTTAGAAAAATCAAACTATTTAGATAATATATTTCCAATTTTTGACCTGAAATTATCTTATATCATTATACCAAATTGCATTAACAAAGTATAAATTGGTTAGTAAAATGCAAAAGAGGCTTGAAATATATAAATTTGCAAAACATTTTGGATATTTTACTAAAAACAATCTGGTGAAAGAGTATGATAAAAATGGGATAAAAGACTAGTAGTAGTCATGCATTTTCCTAAACGGCGTTTTAAGATCAAATAAAATCCGCCATTTTAACATTTTATTTTTTTTTACACAGCATTTTCTTGTTGACAATTGACTTATTAAATTATTGACTAACTACTCCTATGAATAATGATGCCGTCCATGCTCATGAGTCCCGGGAATCTTTCACTAGTTTTAAGTCATCATTGTTACCATATAAGTGTGAGATAATGTATTTTATGAAATACAATGAGATGGAACAAAGACTTTGTTGTTTTCCTTCATAGCGATAAGAGAGGATTTGAAGTATTAAAGAGAAAGGACAATGAAGTGAATTGAAGGAGGGGAAAATCTAAATATGATAGATACTCGCTCAAGAAACATGTTTTACTAACACCTAGCCTTATAAAAAAGTGACTATTGTCGTAGTCTTTCCAAATGTGCAACACTGCATAGGATATCACATTTTTACTGTATATTTGTGTCAGAGAAACTTTTATCCAGCCTGAGACGCACAAAGGGAAGTTCTCGGATTTTCGTTAAATTTTAATCACTCGTGTACCAACATAGAGAGAAGGTACCGTACAGAGAGGGAACATGCTTATGGATCAGAGCAACGAGTCGGCTCATGGAACGACCATGGGCTTCTGGCTTTCTGGTATTTTGTGTACAGGAAACATACTTGTGTCGAGCAAGGAAGAGTTGAAGTGCATGCTAGACACCACTTAAAAGTGTACCATTGAATTTTCCTCTGTACCTTATTTCTCTGCAACCAACATCTATTTGAATGAACCCTCCGAACATAACATGGGAATTAAAGACACCATCAAGGCCATTTAATTCAGCTTTTAGAAATTAAGAAAATTATATTGTCGTTCCACATGCGCGATATATTTAAAGAGCTTTATGTTTGTTGTCTTCACCTTATTCATACAAAATGGTGTATAATGTAACTAATATTTAGAATGCTTGTTTGCAGATGTGTCTTGATTTTATTGTAGGCCTTAAGAATTCAATACACATCTGGGTGTTCCTTTTAGCAATGAAGTAAACATTGAGCACAATGCATTTTGATTATGATAGGTGGGTAAGTATGAATTTTCTACTGTTTATGAACCTGGATGGTTGTTTTTCATTGGATAAATTCCAATGATACCTATTAAGAAAAGGACAAATTTTAATTTATTAAAGTTTTAGATTCAATTTTAGATTTAAATTTAGATATACATTTCATCAGTGGTAGTATTTTTTTCTTCAGTTTGTTACCGGGACATTACGGGACATTACAGGATATCCAGTGGATTTTGTACATGTCCCGGGATTTCATGGGACATTCTGGGATATCCTATGGCATTCGTACATATCCCGGGACTTTACAGGATATCCTGAGGTTAACTTACAAATCCCGGGACATTACGGTATATTGTAGGATATCCTGTGGATTTCGTACTCGTCCCGGGATTTTGCGGGATATCCTGAGGATAGCGTACATATCCCGAGACATTCTCAGGACATATGGGACTACTATGGGATGTCCCTGGGATAAAGTGTGCTGTCTGGGAAAGAAAGGAACAGACTGATCCAAACCCTAAACGTGTGTATACTGTGTACCTACCCCTAAATTAATTTCTGGTTTGTAGCATATAACTCAGGTCTTCTCACAGACAAAGTCAAGAACTTTACTTTGTCTATTGAGAGCTCCAACACCTTTTGGCAATGGTAAGACGTTATTTTGCACCACATAAAAAGTTAAAATGTATGGTGTCTAGTTTATTTCCATTTAAAAAATCAAGAATAATTCCAGACATTTTCAGACGAATGCCAAATTTTTCAAGACTGGATTTTTCAAATATTAGTGATGTGTTGATACCAAAATGTAGCGATTCTCAATTCTTGATACTAATGCCAATTTTTATAATTTAGCCAAATTTTTTAATTCTACACCAAACCCTGTCTTTATGTCATAAAGTAATAATATGTAATGGGGTGTTTTAAAGTAAAAAAAGAATGCAGCAATAAAAATTCAAACCAGCCAATTTGGATTTTTTGGATGATGAAAATCTTCCACGACCAAGTAGATATCATCATTAACTGCCTCGGACGTCGTCGTCGCCAATCGCGATCGCGGGAAAATTATGATCATTTCCCGCGGCCGTGTAGACATTGTCATTGACTCCCGCGGCCACGGAAACGTCATCGGCGTCGTCTGCGATGACCGCGGCAAAATCATGAAAATTCCCGACTTTCATATAAAGACTAAATCCCTACTTTTCAAGACCGATTTGAAATTCAATACTAATTCCCGACTTTCCCGTTTTTTCCGACTACTAGACACCATATAAAAATAATAAATTTAGTTTACAAATATCAAACTTTGAGGTTCCTATCAATTTTTTTAAATTAATTTTTGTAACTTAACCAATAAAAATGTGAATCCTGATTTCTGGGGGGGCTAAGCCCCCCCCCCCTTTAGCCGCCACTGCCTATAATGTGACAAATTAATTTAAGTTATGTATAATATATTCAGAAATATGCCTACATATAGGCTAAAGTTCTAAAAGTAATCTTTACATTATTAAAATTCAGTACAATTAATTGAAAAGAACTGCAGTGCATATGATTATGATTACGTATTGAATTCTGTTTTCAACATGAAAAGGGAAAACTGCAAAATTGTGAGTTATACCATTTTCCAAAATTCTTTTTCCAGGGGGTTTTTAAAAAACTCAAAATGTATCATGGTTTTACAGGCAAAGTAAATCGACAAATTATTGAACAACCATTACAAAGATTATTGATCGACAAAGATTATCATTAATTCATAATAAAATTGTGTCTCATGGTAAAAATGTAAGGCACCCCTTTAAGGCAACAGAAAAAAACCTGCTTGTCGTCTACAGCTATATGATCAGCTGGACAGCTGGAATATTTATTTACACTGGGACAGCTGCAGACGAAAAACATAACCTAAAAACCTGGTACACTGCGCAAGCTCGTTAAGTTTATACATTTCTTGACGAGCCCTTCTTTTAATTTAATTATCAGAAGATAAAAGAGAATTGTCTTAAATTGTCTTTCTTCCCTTCCCTGTAACACTATGAGAAATGTGGTTCCTTTTACGTTACTCATGGGTTTTAATTATATACACCGTTTCTTCTGGACTCTATATTGCACTTATCAATTTACATTACAAATTTGATTACTTAACGGATTGGTTTTGTAATGATTTTGAGACAATTAATGACGTTTACGACTATATCATAGGTAAGTAGCCATTATCTGTTTCTCTTTCCGTAATAAAGGCATAATCATTATCCAACCTTCTACATAATAGGGAGCTCTTTGGCTGTGTCCTCCTAGCTCCATATTTTCCCAATATATGTAAATAAGAGAATGTTCAATTATTTACACGGTTTCATCCTTAAGCGTTAAGCATAAAATAAAATAAATTTGAAAACCTTCATCTTTATCTGACAATGTTTAATACTGTGTAACTACCTAATTACCTAAACTTACCAAATATGGTAACCCAAATTACACCAGCTAGCCTGGGTACAGTTTCTTAACTGGGCTACGCTAATATTGACCGAAAGGGTAATTAACTAGCAGAGTACCCGTCCTTCGTACGGGATTGGCATATAAGTATAAGTTAAAATGCTTATTGCATTTATAATCAAGGTTTGCGTTTACAATGGTGGAGGACACAGTTTGATAAAATTTCTTTCTTTAAATTTACGGTATACTATAACCTTTGACTATTAGTCAATGGTATTACACATCTACCATTATAGCCATAATGTTGTACCACTTCAGCTAAACAATTAGAGAAAAATAAATTATCAGGCCTAAAGATTCGCAAAATATCACAAATTATTCATGAAATTAAAAACATAAACATAAGTGTAAACAATCCAACTTTGACAGTTCTCATTGCGTATTACGGTTTTTTGTTGCTGCTTGGTTCAAATCAAATTAGCTGTTTTCATATCATAGAACCAACCTTTTTAGTTGAAACAGCTGACTAAATTCTTTAATTCCCTTTAAATATGAATACTCTTAAGGTTAACATGGGGAATTACAGAGCCACTGGGGCGGAGCCCGAAAGGATTTTTGAGATAAGAATGTGCCTATATGTTAATCGAGAATGTGAGCTATCATCATGCCAAATTTCAGCCAAATCTGTCCAGTAGTTACTGCGTGATTGAACTTCAAACAAACAAACACACACACAAACTTTCACATTTATAATATTAGTAAGATAAGATAATCAATATTTTAAAATATATCTTCTATCTATACCTATATATAAAAGGCAAAGCCCTCACTGACTGACTGACTCACTCACTCATCACTAATTCTCCCACTTCCCATTTACCTAGGAGGCTGAAATTTGGTACACTGATTCTTTAGGCATTAAATAGGAAAACTAAGTTGTTTTTATTCTGATCGGACTCTCGGGCTCCGCCCCAGTGGCTCTGGAGTTTCCCATGTTAACCTTATGAGTACTCATATTTAAATGGAATTAATGAATCTTAACAGCTGTTTCAATTAAACAAGTTAGTTCTGTTCTATGATGTTCAATAGCATTAAAGTTACAAGGATTACCTACAGGGTGCAGCACTATTATTTTTTTAAATTTATGACAACAGCTAATTTGCAACCAAAAGGTGAGTGAGCGTAGCGAACGAACTTCAACCAGGACGTGATTGAGCCATGCGAACGAGCTCACTTATGAAGTAAAACGGGGCAAAGCCCGCGAGTACAGCTAGTCTATTATAAAATTAAACTATCATAACCTAACCTAACCAACCAAACTTGCTGAAGGTGAAAAATCGCATGAAGGTTTACTAATCGAATCAATAGTTTCAATCAATTTTAGCGTAGCCCAGTTAAGAAACTGTACCCGCTAGCCTAACTATTTCCAAGCAATCATTTGCTCACATTGTAATGTATTATTGAAAATTACTTATTACATTACTATTTCTCTTATAGTGGGGGCTGGGTCGGCTGGCTGTGTTTTGGCCGCTAGGTTGTCAGAAGACCCGACAGTGAACATTTTGGTGATTGAGGCTGGTGGTCGACCATCGGCTCTCTTAGACATCCCCATTGCTGCTCCAATGCTGCAAAAAACACCATATGATTGGCAATTTTATACTGAGCCGCAGCAAAATGCCTGTCTTGGACTCAATGAACAGGTGCGTGGAAATAGCAATCTACAGTTCTTGTCAATGGTTATAGGCTACATAAAAAAAAAATATTATCCTAAATTAAATTTTTTTTAAATCTTAATAACCATGCCTCTTCTTATGACTAGTATTAGTTAATTTATGAGTTAGTAAATTTATTATTAACAAGATTTAGCATTGTTCTTTTTTAATTGAAGATTCTATATTAAGTTTTTTTTTCTTTTTAAATGAGACATCATTCGATTAATTTCTCCAGAAATATTAGACCTAGTTTCTTTTTCAGTACAATTGCTTACCTGCCCACTAACATAGTATCTTGCGAGACTGTTATAGACTAACTTATCTCTTAGAGTTTCTGTAAGAGAATTTTTTGGCTTATGCTACTTTTAGCTTCTAACTAATAGGCTACATTTATTTCCTATGATGTAAGAAATAAAATACAAGTTATTATACAGTTCTGGTATGTATTAAAGGCTAATCAATAATTTTGCTTATCATTATCCTATACTAAACAACAACTAATTGTGTTACAGCGCAGCCCGTGGCCCCGAGGTAAAGTGGTGGGGGGTACAAGCAGACTCAACTACCTTGTCTACCTGCGTGGTCACGTAGCAGACTATGACAGCTGGGTCAGTCCCGACTGTCAGCACTGGAGTCGAAATGAGATACGCAGCTATTTTAAACGGGCAGAACGTCAGTTGGGCCGATACGCCAACGACTGTAAGTGCTCTTAAGCTACTTAACTAATACATTTTCATAATTTATGAAAACTTTAGATAGACATAACTTATGATAGATTATAACTCTATCATTATCTGCAATAGAAACATTAAGTTAGGCCTATTATCCGTACAGTATAGCAAATATGTGGTATAAAGAAAAAATATCAATTCAGAACTAAGGTTTGTCATTAAATTTTGGATTTTTTAATGTCTTTGTACATTATATTACATTTTTGGTCATAAATAATCTTAAAAATAACTCTTTCGCTCTCATACTACTTTAAATGTATAAAGTAATGAAAGTTGCCACCAGTGTTAGCGTTATGCTCTGGTGATCTTGAAAGTATTTTCCAGCTGTGTTTCACTCCACCCTTGGCTCAATACCAGTGTCAGACTTACTGCATACGTCTGGTATGATGGACGGGCTTCTAGGCGCAGGAGAGGAACTTGGATACAAGATTGGAGATCTTAACAGTGGAGAAACTCGGTTTAAAGGTAATTTTTCAACAAGAGACAATTTTTAAATTAGTTCAAAACCACCATCATAGTTAGCCTGAACCTTTGGCTATATTTTTTCTCTTGTGTGTTTTGATATTTTTGTATGTTGGGAAAGAAAAAAGTTTAATCTTGTAATTTCTTAGGTTTATAGTTTGGGTTGTAGAGTAGGATAACTTATCCCATCTCCATTTAAAAGTTGGAGCTTTGACTATAAATAACTTCTTGATCGGCACTATCAAAGTGTTTTGTAGCTAGTTGAAGACTGAAAATTGACGTACCTAGTTGAATCGAGCCCCCAAAAAAGTTTGAAAGACATGCAAAGGAACGTTTGAGATAAGGACATACACAATGATACAGCTCTAAGGGTATAATTGTAGAATGGCCTATAAGGTCATAGTTTTGGGTTTTGCAGTATAGCGTAGGTATACTTCCACGATAAATTTACATAGTGTTGCGATATAAAGTGATCCCATATGTCCTACCTTATATTCATATTCTGTCATAATATTTCATTTGGTCTCTTAAGAATTGTTTAACAGCAGTGACAAGTCTTCGTCCGCTCCATTCCACTCTGCCTCTACCTCTAGTGCTTTTATAGTTTCATGCGATGCCAGTCGGGCCACCAACAGCAATGATCCCATGAAACAAAGCTCAAACTTTGACAAACTGGTTGAATCAACTTTTTCTTACTACAGTTACCTGACAAAGTGGGCTTCCTTGCACTGGTTATAGCTCGCCAAGTAGCTAACTGTTGTATTTACTTACTTTTGACCCACTCTAATTTTTTTTTTTGCCGCAATCCAGTACACCAACCAAACAACTGAAAACAGTGTGCGTTTTAAAGATCATACTACTACGATCAGCTAGTGTGGCGTTTTCTATTTCGTTCAACGCTTGGATTTAACCTAACCTAAAAACGTGTTGTATAGTTTTTGGAAGACTAATTATTTTTATGCTTTATAGTAGGAACTGTAGGAAAAATATAATGTGTAATGTTTAGTGAGTCGGTGGCTCAGTCGGTAGCGTCGCGGACTTCGGGCCCAAGGCAGCGATGTACTGTACCGGCTCACTCCTTGCTTTGCTGTAAACGATCCACGCACGGGCGCTTAGTCTATGTGGACGGGCAAATGCAAGGTTAAAAGAGGCCGCCAACCTCTTTAAAAAAAAAAAAAAAAAATGCGATTGCAAAGTTACACAAATTCAAGATTCAAGATTTATTGAGCCGTTCGGTTTATAACAATTGGCCAAGTCACTAATACTAAACTAAAATAACAAAACAGATGCAATTTCCTCTTGATTTACAAAACAAAATGTCCAAAGAGCACATACAAATGTCCAAAGAGCACACCATGCAAAATAGATAAATAAATAAAAAACTGCAAAACAAAACTGTAAAACATGCAGCGGAGAAAAAAATATAAAAATTAACAAAGCAGAGAAAAAGCAAAACGGAAAACTTAAAAACCACACTCATACCTGTAGGCAAGGTTTAGGTAATATAAATATATGTATGTATTTTTGTTTTCTTTAATACACTAGTTACACAAATAACTATTGTAAATTTAGTTCTATCAACATTATCTCACTGAAGTTATAAAAATTGTAAATAATGTATAGGCCTAGGTAATTTTGGTGCTAAAAAGTAAAAACATCAATACTGACAATATCGATCAAAAACATCGATGCCATCAAGTATCGGTGGATTTCCATCTATGTCAAAAATATTGAATATCGGCCTTAAAATATCGATATTTCTGATGTCGGCCTATTGATTATCGATACCAAACACTAGCCTATGTCAAAGTATGTATCCAGTTCATTCTCTTATTGGTTTTGTGATTCCTTCTCTTATTATTGGAATTTTAAGTGTAACATATATTTTTACATAATGAGAATGCAACTAATAAAAGTGAAATCAATTAAATGTAAATATTAAATCCATACTTTGTTTGTCTAAGAAAGTAATTATTTCAAACACCTTATTTATTTCCAGGAGGGTTTATGGCTACTCAGTCCACCACTAAAGATGGTTCAAGGTTCAGTGCTGATAAACTTTTGATCGGAAGAAACAATGTGAAGATCCTGCCTTATACTCAAGTCACAAAGGTAGGATTACACAAAAGATAGAAAGATTAAGATAAGTATTAAGATTAAGGTTAGGTCAAATCTTGATGTTTGTCCAATCAATTAATATCCATTTACTACTTCAAGATATGAAGAAATTTATCATTTCAAACTGTTTATATCTTTATATTTTAGTTGAGTGTGTTAACATAGCTTTAAATCTTGCCGTTTTTCTACCTTATCATCATCAATCTTAACAATTTTGGAACATGTTATACTGTTTGTTAGGTGCTGCTGAGGCGCAATTTTGAGGCATACGGAGTCCGAGCTGTCCGCCACGGTCACCGCCTGACCTTGCGTGCCCGCAGGGAAGTTATCCTATCTGCTGGCACGGTCGGAAGCCCCCACCTCCTGCTGCTCTCTGGGATTGGTCCTGCAAAACACCTCCAAGAGCTTGGCGTAGGTGCTATAAGTAGTAATGATTACAAAACTTAAAATGAAATATCTCTCCTCTTTGTTTGAGAGAGGTCTACAATATAAAAACAGTTCTCATCGTCTAAGAGGGCTTTACAGCCGAACTCCAACTATCCAAACTGCAACTATTGGAATAGCTGACAATTGCTTAAAGAAAGAATTAAAGAAAGTTAAAACCACAGTAATAAAAATTGTTTTTAAAGAAGGCAAAAGCCATGATAACAGCCAAATCCAATACCTCTCTCACGGCCCTGTAGACTTCATCATTGTCTCCCGTGATCGTGGGAAAATATTTAATACATCCCACAATCGTGTAGACATCATCGTCGTCTCTCACGGTCACAGAATCATCGTCATGGTTTCCGTAATCACGGCCAAATCTTGAATATCTCCCGCGCCCGTATAGACGTGATCATCCCGTCTCGCAGTCATGGCTCTAAATCACCATGTCACCCGCATTGTAGCAGATTGTAATTCGGTGATTGTTTTGTTCTAACAAATCATTAATTTAAGGTGGAGTTGAAGGTATGATGTTGTAAAATTTTAAATTGAATAAGCTATCTTTAGCCTAAATCATAAAAATATAAAGAACAGAACAAGAAATTGCTTTGAACCTTTTCTATTGTTAAACTAGCAACCTTCTCAATCAGCCAAAGAAAATGTCTAATTTTGTTTTGACACAGGGAATTAAGCGGAATGACTACATACAATTTTCAACTCTCTCATATTTTCAGAAGCATCCCTCTTGACATTCTTTTACATTACAGATCACAGTGGCAGTAGACCTTCCTGTAGGAGAGAACCTGCAGGACCATGTGGCTACAGGACTGGACCTAGTAGTGACCAATCAGAGTTCTCCATTGTCCTGGCAGACAGTTGTCAATCCATGGAACCCCATCAGCTACTTGCTGGGACAAGGTGTGTCAGAAATATAAGTATGATACCCAAATTCATTTCTGAATGGTTACAAAAAGATTTTTTTTAGCAATAAACTGTTTCTTAGCGTTGCTACCCACGTAGTAATGCTGGTCTTTTAGCGCCATAGGTATCTTTAAAAAAATTTAGGTTAAGAGTCTTCTTCACCCTTGCGAAAACAATAAAAACACGCCTTGGACGTCCCTCGCCCCGGATGGGACGCGTAAAGATATAATGTTAAAACCTTTTCTCGTACAGATTAATGTTGGTTCTAGGGCTCTCATACACGATATATCCAAGAAAATCAATATTATAAGTACAAAAAAATCTTAAAGTAACGCAAATTGAGTCACTTTTAAACACTGATAAAACTAATTATTTTTTCATTTTCAATTTATTAAGGTATAAGAGTTCTAATATAACTATTAAACTACTTTGATACCAAATTTGAAGAAAATCTGTTGAAAAACAGCGTCCAAAACTGGGGACGAAATAAACATGTTTTGTCGGATGCTACTGTGCTACTAGCCTTTAACAAAACTTGGCTCAGGCGGCAGATGAATCACTGACGTGTCGATTTAGTAGTCGTGTGTTTACTATGTTTTCAGAATATCGCGCATAATGACCCCTTGCTACCCGCCCGTCCTCAAAACCTTCCCCACAAGGCCATATCCCCAAACGCAACTACACCGGGGGTGAAGAAGACTCTTAATAAGACCTAATAAATAATATTTATCAAAAAGCATTACTGCAATGCATGACTTATGATGCTAAGTAAAGTGGCTAGAGTAGCTTGACCTCAGATGCCTGGACAACCAAACATTTGAGCGAGCAGCAATGTTATATTTACTTGTAGACCAACTATTGATGTATGCTAAACATGTTTGATTCCACAGGTCCAATGACCCACCCGGGCTGTGAGGTGGTGGGGATGGTGAACACTCTGGGTCGTACAGATGAACTGCCCGACCTTCAGTTCATGGCTCTGCCCGGTGGGTTGTCCAGCGATGCTGGAGTAGTGCTCAAGAGGGTGATGGGCATCACAGACAAGGTAGCCTACGATGCCTAAGACATATTTAGGCTAGGTGCCTAAGATAGGCAGTAGTGTTTAAGGCTAAAGCCGGTTCTTCCAAGGTGCAGAAGCAGAGTGCGTGGAGAAGCGATTTTCCGCTCGTCCAGTGGCAGTCTGCTCCACTTCTAGGAAAATGCTACCATTACATTACCTAAGGCAAGTGGAGATTGGACCGCGCTTCCGCGCCTTGGAAAACCCAGATTAAAATATAATGTAGACTGGCAATCTCTTATGTGGGAACTGTATTTATATTGTAGTACTATTTTAAGGTTTTTCGACCATATTCCGTGGATATCAATTAAGTATTTCTCTGTTTCAGCTGTGGAGGGAATATTTTGCAGAGTTGGTTGGTACTCCTGTGGCCACACTGCTGCCAACCGTGTTGCACCCTCACAGTCGGGGTTGTATCAAGCTGAGGTCCAAAAACCCTAACGACCCTCCAGTCATTGACCCCAGGTATCTCAGTGACCCGAGGGACGTGCAGGTTCTTATTAGAGGTAAGATTTTGTATGTTAAAATCTAAAAACCAATTAAGGTGAAAGCGGGGATTTATATATTTTTACAAATACTGCATTTAATGGCGAATAATACAAAATGGTTTTCGTCATACTGCATCAAAACAGGCCATTTTTAATGCATGCGTTGCATGCATATCACGACCCTGATGGTCTAAAGAAGCATTTTTACTCTCTAGGGAGTAAAAATCAGCTGTTGTAAATTTTTATTGTGGCAATCGTATTGTATGGATCAAAATTGTTTATCGATTGATTTATTAGGTAAGGTTTGAGCCTATTGTTGTCGATTGCTTGACATATCGATGGTATAATGTAGCACTGTAACACAATGGTAATAGACAAAATTATTGAATCACTTACTAAACAGCTGCTAATTTGATTAGTAGAATCGAAAACAAGCTGGAAGTCGTTTTGAGAGGTTATCTTTACATACAAATTTTTTTGTTTTCTAGCTTTGTTTGTTAATTAATGATGCAATATGAGTTCACCACATGGACAAAAAGTGACTTTTTAACCCTCGCTCATTTTTTGACCTCGGCTTTGACTCGATCGTAAAACTTGACCTCGGGTAAAAAAAAATCACTTTAGGCCCTAGTGATGAAATATACTTGTAATATATCTTGAAAGAAGTTTAAAATAGCATGTGTCTGCATTTAATTTTTAAATTATTGGATACTTAGGTAAACGGCGTTTAACAATTTTTTCCTATGGCAAATATCTTTATGTTTTACTGTTATCATGATTTTTTTCAACCAAATTTCTCTGATTATTTGGATATTTGTGACTGTAACTGACAAAAAAAATCCAAGGTGAAGGCGACGACTCTTGTGGTCTGTGTAAAAAGAAGGTTAAATCTAACCAATCTGCACTTCAATGTGAAGGGAAATGTTGTCTATGGTTTCATATTAACTGTCTCAAAATTGATAAAGTTAAATTTGACCAAATTGTATCGCTTGGTAAAATAGTGCTATGGATCTGTACTGCTTGCCGGGATGAAATGGTTGAAGGATGCAAGGATCAACTTCAACTGTCGCAGAAAGCAAGTTATGATCTTCCAGCTTCAATACTCTCAGTTGAAAGTTTAAATGAAATTATGATCCAACTTCTTGATAGTCACGATAAACTCAATAAATTGGTGACAGAACATATTGGTCGGTCATGTAGTGCCCGTGACGATAGCCAGGAACCATTACATGAAGGAAGTAGGCCTATCTCTAAAACCTTTTCTTCGGTCTTAAAATCTGTGCCCTCTCACGTAAGACAATCTCCCAATAATCCTAAGAAGAAAAACGACCACTCTGGTGAGTCAAGCAACAGACAGTCTAGTAGTCCTAACCTAGATTCTAACATTGGATTAGCCCTAGGTCTAGATACCGGTAGTGAAGAACAGAGGCAGGGTGGCAGTGAATGTGATGAAGAAGGTTTTACTCGTGTTGTTTATCATCGTAATCCTAGACAATCTTGCCCTAAAATTGTAAAAGGTCCAAAGAACACTTCCGGCAATAAATTAGTTGTCGGGAATGGTAATGGCAATGGCATCTTTCAAGCTGTTAGCAAAAAATCGTGGATCTATGTTACACGATTTCAAGTAGCGACCAGTGAAAGTGATGTAAAAGGCTATGTCGAATCATCTTTCCCAGACAGGATGATTGACTGTGTAAAGCTCCCGACACGACACGACTCTTATAACTCGTTTAAAATTGGCGTGCCTTGTGGAATCGTTGATTCCCTGATGAAAGCTGATTTCTGGCCCTCAGGAATACTCATAGGAAAATATTTTCCTAAAAAAAGTACCAGGCCTACTTCTAATTCAAATCCTGTTTCCAGTGTAGAAGATCCTAGTAGTACTAGGCCTAGTCATAGTAATTTTTTATCCCAGTCTGTGCCTCCAACTCACCCAACGTAAATATGGACTGGACACCCTGTAAGGTTAGAAGTTTATTCACTGTAATAACGTTTATCTTTTTAAACATACAAGGTTTGGGCGATAAACACTCAATACTCGAAAAAGACTTTCATAGTTATGATTTTATCTGCTTGTCCGAACATTGGGTTAAAAGTGACAATATCGATCTCTGTGGGCTTTCAGGCTACAACTTAGTCAGCAATTTTTCACAGACTTCGCAAGGTAGAGGGGGCACTCTATTTTTTGCCCATCAGAAACATCAATGTGAAAGGATTGACCTATCCAAGTTCTGCGCAGAAAAAACTTTTGAAGCTAGTGCAGCTATAGTCAAAGCTCATAAACTCCTTATAATCTCGATATACCGTACACCTGACAGCGACGAATGGTCTTTCTTAAACACTCTAGAAAGTCCTTAACTACCTCTCAAAGTGGCGTGACTTTCATATAGTTATTGGTGGTGACGTTAAAGCACAGTTTGATGTAACTTCAGCACGAAGATCTGTCACGGAACTTCTTAATCTCCTTAGGTAATTCAACTTATACCATCAAAACAACCTACCCACACGTGGGACTGCCTGCCTAGACAACATATTCACAAACACCGGCCAAGAGAATGTCTACTGTGCTGTCAAGCAATTCCACTTCTCGGATCATGATGGACTATCTTTACATTTTGTCTGTGATAGTGAGTCAGTGCCTTCTCATACTCTAACATCCATGTATAAAAGGTCTTTCTCAAAGCAAAATTGTGATATTTTTAAAACTAGACTCCAAAATATTGACTGGGAAGCTGAACTAATCATTCCAACTGGAACCCACTTACCTCAGCCTCCAGGTAAAGCTTTTGCATTACTTAATAGTACTCTTTTGCATGAAATAAATATCTGTTTTCCTCTGAACAAGTGTAATACAAAAACAAATCGTAATGTAAAGCCAAATAAAAGCTGGTACACTGCCAACCTTAGTGTTCTCAAGGAGCAATTAGATGTAGCCTATGACAAACTTAAAAATAATTTCTCACCTTTTTTAAATTCTGACTATTGTAACTTAAAGAAAGAGTATAAGAAAGCTGTAAATAATGCAAAACTTGTCTAAAACGCTAAACTTATTGAAAATTCTGATAACAAGTGTAACACAGCCTGGTCAATTGTTAAAAAGAACTGTCAATCTAACTTCTCCTCAGTAAATGTACCTATAGATCCAAATGTTTTTAACAAATCATTGATTGACTCTGTCGACAAAGTTAGATCTGAAATTAATCGCCCAAATGTTAATTTTAATGACCTCTTAAGTACTTTCCCTGCTAGTAATAAGAATTTTAGCTTTGCTCCTGTCTCTTGTGACTACATTCTGTCAATAATAGGTAAAATGAAAAATAGCAAAAGTAGGGACTACTATGACTTTTCTAACTGGTTAGTAAAGGAGGTTTCTGACCTAATCATTGTACCTCTCACCTATAGCATTAACACTTGTCTTCTAGAGGGACATTTTCCTGAGTGTCTCAAACTTTCCAAAATCATTCCTAAATTTAAGAAAGGTGATAGGAATAATGTGGGTAGTTATCGGCCCATAAGTCTGGTTCCTGTCTTGGCAAAGATTTTTGAGCATGTAATTTATGATCAAATCAGTCAGTTTTTTGAATCTAACTCACTTTTTAATCAACATCAGTTTGGTTTCAGGGCTGGTCGCTCTACCATGGGTGCTGTTGATGGCATGGTCCGCACAGTCTTGAGCGCTTTTGAGAGCGGCAACTATGCTTGGGCCACGTTTGTCGACCTAAGTAAGGCTTTTGAGTCTTTTGACTGTGTTGATCATGGCATCTTACTGCGCAAACTGCAGTATCACGGGGTCCATGGTGGTGCGCTCAGTCTCTTTGAGACCTACCTCGCGGACAGAAGGCAGGTGGTTTGCATAGGGGGAGAGACTTCCTCTATCGCTACTAGCAACTGTGGCGTTCCCCAGGGGTCTGTACTTGGCCCTCTATTGTTTCTTATTGCTGTGAATGATCTACCTTGTAACTTAAATGGAAATATTTTTCAATATTCAGATGATACGACCATGCTTAATATTGGTAGAGATATATCTAACCTCAAAAATTCTGTGGTTCATGGTATGATAAGGGCCACAGAATGGTTTGCTGCCAACAGCTTTCTTTTAAATAAGGACAACACCTTGGACCTAATTTTTAGTCTTAGGGAACTTCCAGATACTATAGTGTCTAACAGTCATGTAAAATTTCTTGGTGTTACATTGGATCAAAAATTGTCTTGGGAGCCTCATATAAACCAACTTTGTACTAATCTGAGTCGATTAAAGTGCCTCTTTAGAAAATTAAGATGTGTAATCCCAATAGATTGTCTGTTAAATGTTTACTATGGCCTCTTCCAATCAGCAGTAAGCTATGGAATAATTTTTTGGGGAAATAGCCCACATGTAAAAAAGGTTCTTGTAATCCAGAAAATGATTCTAAGAATAATAGCCAAATTAGATGTTATTGAACACCATAAACCAATTTTTATTGATTTTAAAATTCTCACTGTTGTTAACTTGTATATTTTTAATTTATTGTTAACTAGTTTTAAGAATTTAAATGCTTTCAACTGCCGTAAAGATGTCCACCAGCACAATACTCGATTCAGAGATAAACTTGACATTCCCTATGTTAGACTGGAGAAATCTAAGAAAAGCTATGAAATAGTGGGCATGCAATGTATTAATAAGATACCTACTTTTATGTTCTCTCTCCCATATAATTCTTTTAAACATAAAATGTTCCAATGGCTAGCTGTTAATCCTTTTTACGAACTCAAAGACTTTTTAGACCTTCCTTCGTCAAAGTTATGTTTTTAGTTGTCATTGTCTAACTGTTATGCCTTCACCTAATGCCTTGTAGTACAACCTGTCTAATTGTGTAATGTTTTGCTAACTTTTAAATGGTTGTTTTTACTTCTCGATAGTGATAAACTCTGTGATATTAGTTTAAGACCAATAGTTAAATAACTTAAAATGCAATTTTTTTTTCGTAGACTTCAAAGTATACCTTGTAACTTACTTCTCAATTTGACAACTGCTCTGCATGAAAAATGTTTTGACTCTTCCAATGCATTTGTAATATGTCTACAGGAAATAAACATGTCTTATGTCTTATGTCTTACCCAATACAATATCAAATATCAATATTCAATAACTATGCCCAGTTTAAACAGAAGTTTTAAAACTCATATAAATAAATTCTCACTTATTGCATAAGATTAGAAAGACATAATCTATATCCAGACATAAAAATGTGTGAATTTTTAAAAATTCATTTTTTCCTCACTCAAGTTGTTGACTTTGCAGGGCTACAACTACTAGTCCGACTGACAGAGACGGAGGCTATGAGGAAGATAGGGGGGATGGTTTGGTCTACACCCCTCCCCCCTTGTGCTCACCTCCCCCTCTTCACTCCCCCCTACTGGGAGTGTTACATCCGCCACATCACTGTCACTGCGTACCATTTTGTCGGAACTTGCAGGATGGGCTCGGAAAACGATGCGACCGCAGTTGTTGATCACATGTTGCAGTAAGTTTTACTTTTCATTAGTTTGTGATGGTGCAGTAGCAATGTAATTTTATTTTTACAGTACTTTTAAACATTTTAGATTAAACATTTTCGTCTATAATTTTGTTTGTCATCCTTATGGATCAGCTGGAGATTATTTTAACATTTTCTTTACGCAGAAGGTGTTTTGTTGTTAACAGTTTGTTTCTCATTATTAAAAATATATTAAAACTATTTTAACCAAATAAAACAATGTATTTGTAAACTATTGCTTGTTCTATAGTATTTATTTTTATACTAGCTGTACCCGCGGGCTTTGCCCCGTTTAACTTCATAAGTATTCGCATGGCTCAATCACGTCCTGGTTGAATTTTGTTTGTTACGTTCACTCACCTCTAGGTTGCTCGTTCGCTGCGTTCACTTGCCTTCAGGTTAGCTAACTCGCCTCCAGGTTGAAGTTCGTTAGCTACGCTCACTCACCTTTTAGTTGCAAATTAGCTGTTGTCATAAATAAAAAAAAAAAATAATAGTGCTGCACCCTATTGGTAATCCTTGGTAACTTTAATGCTATTGAACCTCATAGAACAGAACCAACTTGTTTAATTGAAACAGCTGTTAAGATTCATTAATTCCTTTTAAATATGAAAAGTCATAAGGTTAACATGGGAAACTCCAGAGCTACTGGGGCGGATCCCGAAAGCCCGATCAGAATAAAAACTAGGCTACTTAGTTTTCCTATTTAATGCCCAAAGAATCGGGGTACCGAATTTCAGCCTCCTAGGTAAATGGGAAGTGGGAGAATTAGTGATGAGTCAGTGAGGGCTTTGCCTTTTATATATTTAGATAATTTAAGAGTAACCTACAAGTAAAGAAATCCACCCTTATACATGAGAAGAACGTCAACTTCAGCGTACCACAGAGAAGTATAGCTTTTGGGACGACTGTGCACTTCAGCTCTAGTGTGATGGGCCAGAAAAATACTTGTAGCAAGGAAGAGCCCGAGTGGCGAGCACTGTGCAGAAATTCCTATTGCACTCTTCATCTACTGAGTGCGAGGGAAGTGGTGTTGGTTTTTTCAACCTTTATAATAACAAAATTTGGTATTTCCAGAGTTCACAAAACATCCAGACTCCGTGTCGTAGATGCATCAGTAATGCCAACCATGCCGAGCGCAAACATAAATGCAGCTGTGATGATGATAGCAGAGAAAGCAGCCGATTTGATAAAAGCTCATTGGCACCTACAGTCCCTGCAGGTGTGCCACTTGCAGGATGTGTTCCTCACCAGGCCTACCAACTGCCGTCACCATTAGTAGAGAAATTTACCTCTCATACATAATAATTCCCTATTGTCTTTCCACCAATGCAGGACACTTTGTGGTACTGTAATATGTAAACCAAATTTTAAGAACATACAAGTCAGCTAAAAATAACTGAAATGGTTAGTGTTTTTAGCTAATTTTATTATTAGTCCAACAATAATTTTTAGGGAAAAAACCACTTAAAATGTGTTAAAGTGATGGATAAAACCTATTTGCAATTGATTGGTTGGCATAATGTTGTGAAAAATAAGTAAACTAAAAAACCTGTAATGTAACATAGTTGATTACTACTACAATAGATACTAAACAAACATCAGAACAGGCTCTCTATTTTACAACAGGGTGAGAAAACTACATGCAGCTTCCAAAGTCAATATAAATGGTACACCGGTTCAAATCCTATCTCTCACAAATGGTTTCTGTCAAAGAATTGCATCAAATACTTGAAAATAACTTTCTACTTCAGAAATAGATTTTTAATGAGTTATTTTTTAACCCCTTGAATAAAAATGAAAAAAAATTATGACAATAAAGTTATTGTAACTGTGGGTTTGCTAACAAAAATCTCAATTTTTTAAGTAAGAGGAAATAGCTACATACAACCAGATTCAGTTTCTAATTTAAACTATTTATGCAATAAAACTTTTACTCCATGGTTGCCAAATCTAATTAGTTTTATGAGAAAACTAGAAAGAAAAGAAGTAGTAAACTTATCTACTCCAAGTAGATCACAAGTCAAGATTTTACTTATAAAAATATACTGTTATGGGAAATACATAAAAAGAAACTAGGTACTATTTTTATATCAGATTGTATGTCCATAACTAAGATAGGCCTACTCTGAGTGCCTTCACTACAGGATTAAAATTTAAAATATATTTCATTGAGAAACCTTCATAAAAGTTGTCTATGCATATTTTAAATATTTTTTTATTTATAAAACTATAACACTGTAATGTGAGTTAAGTATTTTTGGCAAATTTCCCATATAGGAAATAAGCTATTTTTAATATGTCTAATGTACATGTGATGATAAAGTTGTCTCTAAATGTTTATGAAAACTTCATAAATCTTTAAATCCAATTAGTTTAAGACCCCTTCAACTTATAACAGTTGTTAAGGCGTGTTTTCCTAGCTGCGGGGTGCGGTGTTGAATCTGCAGAGTCCGCAGAGCACACAATACACAGTGCTACATCAGAGTGTTTTCCTAGGAATCGTAGGCCAGCGGGGTTCAGACTGCAGGCCGCGTTGACTCATTCTAGAGGTGCCTACATCGCAGTCTGCAACGGGATAGCGAGGAGTTTGTGTTATTGTCCAAGTGGTTCTACGAGAGAAACTTTGAATCCCCACCCCGCGAAGTCTAGGAAAACACTAGTCCGTCTTTGTCTGCCGTGTGGTCTAAAAATGCATTGAACAACGCACCACGCTGTGGAGTAACCCCACTGCTAGGAAAACGCGCCTTTAATTTTAATGTTTTTGTAACCCATTTCTTAACGTGATATAATCAATGTTCCTAGTGTTGTATAGGATGAACGATGTGTTGGAAAGCCATCCCATCTTAATCTAGTCAATTGTATTCACTGATTGTTAGGCAATAAATATTATTTATGTAAAAAATTACTTTAGCGTTTTATTTCTACATTCTCTCCCAGAAACAAATTTTTGGACCAGATTTGGGATTATAGGAGGGTTGGGTTTGCTGAATAGCACTCCGCATCCAGGTCCTACAGGGAGAACAGGGGTTCGTTACGATGAGCCCTTAGCCAATCAGCAATCAGCGGTCCATGCAGCTATGTTTAGCAGACAAAAAATCCATCTATCATGGACTGTGCATAAGATGAGGTCAGCGAGTAGTATGTTTTCTGTAGCGATGGGCTTCTGGCCCCAAAAACCTCTTATGCCCTTTGGCCTGGGTCGATTGTATCGATTTGGGCTTAAGGGCGAGGCTAGGAGCGCTTTTGAGTCCATATTTACAATTTCAGAGATTTTATATGGCAAAAAAATGGATGATTAGACACAAGTTTCCCAATCACCATATAACTTTTTTGTTTATTTTTTACATTTTTTGAATAGTATAAAGTGGTGAGACATCAGTTCTCCAAATCATTCACATGACACTATGTTATTAGGCATTGTAGTTCACATTGAACACTGTTAGTAGTCGCCTGTACAAGGAACTGGCGTTCGTGCAATACTTGACTGTGTTGCGGGTTGCGGTCATTGTAGCGGATGAATGTTGAAGGCGTCGAGTAAATAAAAAACTTTTGGTATTACTGTTTTTTAAACCCTCAGAGATGTGTCGTTAAAACTGAATTGGAATTAAATATTTAATTCTATATGATTCTTAGTTATGAAAATGTTTTGTAATTTGTAACGAATTACTAAACTACAAAAATATGACATTGCCCTAAAATACTGACAAAATAGGCTATGTCCCTTTCATTATTTAATTATGATTTTTTATCAGTTGAGTGTTCTTTTTCCTAAGCTACGGATTTTTATGAACTGTCATGTACTTCTTCACTAAATTTTTAAATAAACCTTACAACAGTAATTATTTTGTTGTTGTTCATTGAAAATATACCTTACAGATAACTAACTAACGTTAGGGCCTTTCTCAGCAAGCGCTTGTTTGGCGTTAAAGCATAACATACAAACAATTTTCCAATGGATCTCAACAAGTCTTTGCATAACAGTATAGAATGGATACGATTTTGTTATTGGCTCTTAAAGCCAACCTCAAAATTACTGCCATGGGCAAGCCACAGTCTGGGCAAGCCGTCATGCCTTTGATCCCCTTTGTTTGGCACAACAACACAGTATTTGATGATTGTGTTAAAGCGATTTTCCATCAGCTGATCCACTCATCCTCATGTGGTGTTGTAGTCAGCTGTTTTGTAGTCTGTTGTGTGGTATAGTATGGTTACACAACAATAGACCACCGCATTCACGCATCCTCGCATTGTCCCCGAATCCTAATCGAATTTGGAGATCCACATTTGGGTCGCCCAGTTCACACGACACGCCCATACGCCTGCCTTCGAATGACAAGTTTTCATGAAACACAGTTTCCAATTATAAGAAATTGTGAAATAGAATATAACTAGGCCTACGATTAGGAATAATCTTGATGTTATGGGGTTTTTAGGGTTTTGTTGGAACCTCCATTTGTTCAACTTCAAATTTTACTCCAATTGTAGGTGATAAAATCTTACATCGACATAAAAATGTAATAACATTTAATTTGCTATATAAGGTTCGCTATATATATCTCACTGGGTTAATGTGTTAGGAAATGTACATTTTAGGTTGTCTTTCTTTCTACTAGCCTAAATTTAATCAAATCACATGTTATAATAAAATAATATGTTTTCATGGAATCATTGATCATTATTTTTGTAAACAAACGTTAGTTGTTGAATTTTAAGTAAGACCATTCAATTGTGTACGACGTCTTGTGATTTTAGATTATTATTTAGAAACGAATAAACTATTTGGACCCAGAACCATGTATAAGCAATTTTTCTTTTGGGACTTTGCAACACAACAGTGAGTAACGATATTATCGTCAGAGTTGTAAGTGTAATTACTGTAGTGAAAATATTGCAATGCAATACCTAGGCCTACTAAATAATCTCTCTTCTGTTCTCTTAGTAGTATTATTATGTATAAAACCTGGACTAATGAGTAGACATGTCCTCTCAATCTATAATAAAAAGTAAATAAAATAAGCAATTCATTAAATTAGCCCATTTTAGTATGTTTCCCTTTATTGTAGCCCTCCTCCTCAACCTTCTTTTTCTTCGTCCTTTTCTTCATCTACATTATCAATTATCATCATCAGCATCTTCTCTCTTCTCTCTTCTCTTCTTTCTTCTCTCTTCTCTCTTCTCTCTTCTCTCTTCTCTCTTCTCTCTTCTCTTCTTTCTTCTCTCTTCTCTCTTCTCTCTTCCTTCTCCTTGCTTCTCTCATTTCTTCTCCTCGTCATCATCTTTATCCTCTTCAACGTAAAGATGGTGACGCCACTTTTGGGTTCCCCTCTTATTCCAATTCCAAACCAATGTATCCGATTTTCAGTTACCAGAATTGCGGACGTACTTCTGTAGATCGACTTAGTAGAGATGGCTTGCAAAATGCAATTATAGACGAAGACAGAAATGGAATGACAAAGCTTACGTATCCGAGAACGACTATTTTAGTCGGCAGTACAATCTCTGTAATACGAGTTGAGAAAGAAAATTTTCGTCGAAAACTTCTCCTCAAGTAGATAATTGTCATGGTTACTACTTAAGCCACAGAGAAGCCCCTTTAGCCTATTTATTTCAACTATAGCCCATATTGTAAGTACTTTTTACTTAAATATATTGGATAAGATTTTCCCAATACAATTTCGTAAAAAACTTATTCACAACCTACAACGTTTCCCCTCCCTATGGGCTTGGCACCTACGGAAATAGGCACCACTTACCTACTTTCCACATGAGGAAATTCGTTGAAAACCATTCAAAACCTCAGACAAGGAATAAGAACTTAAGAACAAGGAGTGCCTCACGCAACCACAACGTTTGTGTTATGCCTCACTCTATTGTGGTTTTATAACCTCAAGAGAACTGGAAGATCAGATAACACAGGGTTTAGTGCACCACTGCGGCAGTGCGACTCTGTCTGAGGGAAGGGTCTTGTCAACTGTCAAAGTAAGATAGTTGGTGATAAGTATCCGCTCGACAACCTTGTAAACCTCTACGAGAGTAAACCTTAACAACTGCAAAAATAGGTTGACTGTTTGGATTCCTCCGTTAACCGATCGTCGTCAGAGATAACCTCGCAACAATTTGTGAAGATTTCCCTTTAGCAATATGGGGGTGTCCCTGAATGCCAGGTAAAATACATATGTTCAGAGGCACTCCCTTATCAATCCATACTGTTAAGGGTATAGTATATTCGCTGAACCTAGCAAATCAGTTAGCTAAATTGCCAACGAAATCCTGAACATCACAAGATTCACAAGTTCATTTTGTAAGAGATTCGTGTAAGAGTTTCGTTCGTTGTAAGAGGTTTGTTCGATTTTGTTAGACATGCGTGTAACATAGATTCAGAATACTCGACTGAGCGGTAGGAAAAATATAGGGAACTTGGTTTTAGCCAGTTTTGTCTTCTATTTCTTTAAACGCAGTGTTTAAATTTGAATCGGTACCAGTTTACTCTTAAAATATCGCTCCGTTTGCTCTACAGACCTTAGTAAAATGTCATGCTCTTGTGGGAGTGGTGGTAAAAAATGTTATCAGTAGCACTCAAGTAACCTTGTCCCACTCGATAGCGACCACTTAAGCTCTCGAGGACTAGTGATAAGTGATGATAGCTAGACGACATTGAGTGGTCGTGGTTCAACAATGTAACACTACTTCACACCAAGCGATACAGATAATGTGCAGTGGTAGATGTGATGCAGTCCGTAACGTTCAAGGTTTAATAATCATACATACTGGACAACGAAAAATATTAAAATAGTATAATGCGTGATTCAAGCATTTATGTATTGATGACAATAAACTTAATAGCTAATTGTACAGTAACTGATTGCTTGCCGATTCCATACCTGGTGGCATTTTCTGGCATGTTATCGTACTGAGCAGATTGCCAGTTAATACATTTTTTACTACTCAAGCCTGGACCTTAGATAGTGTTAAACGGAAGATGAAGGAGTGAAGGAGAATGTAGGCTTAGATATATTAAATTCAACGACTTAAGTGTACCCCCTGATGGGAATTAATTTTAGTATTGTTTATCATCATATAGGCTATATTTACAATTAAATTACCATTAAATTAAGAGTATAAAAATTACTTGAGAATAACATTTCTAAAAGATTACTGAAATATCATTCATGCGTACACTGGATCAACTAAATGAACATACTTTGGCTTCATAATGTTGTCATAGCAGTGGCATAGTTCTAAGTCTGCTTACAAAAAAAAGAATACAAGTTCCTCCCTTCAAACATGGATACATTTCTCTGTTGGAAAACTCGACAGTATAAAAGCAACACGACAATTAATTCTTTACTTTATTATGTAAAATTACCGTATGCCTAAGACCATGGAGACATTTAACTCTGGTGTCAGTTAAAGAAAACACAGCCAAACTATGGGGGAATTCTAGGGTGTAAAAACTCTTTGTAACTCAATCATCGTCTTAACCACGTACCCGTCTCTCGTGTGGTTATTTTAATCCCAGGATAAAACACATGCTACACGTGTGATTAAGTTCCGGGATGTCACAAGGGTGGGTGACGAGCGTTTCTTGAATTGATGACGTCATTCTTCATACGAGATGTTGAGATGTTGTGTGGCTGTGGAATGGATTTGCCATTGAAACATATATTTACGCTTATACTGTTACTCAGAATACGGTAAATATACATAAAAGATGGTAAGTATCGATTTCGATTGGACACTCCAATCATCATCAGACCCAATAGGCGAATGACTGTCATTATTTTACTTCTAATCTGAACAAACTTAATTCGACTTAAGTGTTTCATCGTAGATTACCATATAATCCCATAATCCCATTGTAAACATGGATTGTAATATTTTATCTGTCAAAGCTCAATATGTAAA